CAGATCTGGCCCAATCCAGATACCTATCCTTCCATAATAAACTTCAGAATCATCCCAACCCTCTCGTTTCTAACCTTGCTTCCTCTTCAATTCCTGATAACCCTCCGAGGTTATACCAGTGCGAGATTATAGGCCAGTGGAGATTGATCGAGATTACTTTAACCACATAAACTCATGCCTTGAGCGGAGAATCTGGTCATTGCCAGAACTAAAATATATACAATCTACAAAACATCGCGGGGCCACTGCCGTTTCAACCTTCTTGGAGGATTATAAGGATGGGTGGTGCTTGATAGGGATTGTGCAAGAGGATTTGGATGATACATAAGGTTCTGGTAAAATTTGGAGAATTTTTCTGTGATAAGGTCTAGGACAAATGGGATGTTGAGATCATGATGTGGGTTTTGTTGGTAATGGACTATCATAGAAAGAAGCATTGACTATTGTTCGAAGGACTTTTGACTGGAAGGATTGGATGCGTTTGATGTTTGAAAATTTTGCTGTTCCTCACAGTTCTAACCCGTAAGCCCAAATAGGTTTCAGTATTGTCTTGTAGATCAGTAAATTGTTTTCAATAGAAAGTTTAGATTTTCTGTTTAGTTGGCCGCATCGTCGGTTAAGTTCCTATCTTTTAAGTCTAGTATGAGGTAGTGTGTTTACATTTGGATTCGTTTATCTTAATGCGCCATTTCTTATACCAGTGTTCAATCAGGGAGAGATGCATTTGTAGGTTTAATGACGCTGTTTTAGGATCTGAGTCGGTTGAAAGGATAGTGGTATAATCGGCGAATGTTGCCAGGAGGGTTTCGTGATAGACAGGAATATCTGCGGTGAAAAGAATGTAGAGGATGGGACCCAAGATGCTGCCTTCGGAACTCCCGCCTCAATTAAATAACAGTCAGATAACTCAGTACCACATCGAACTTGAAAGGAGCTGTCAGAGAGATCGGAGTATTAAACATAAGGACTGTGGTAGATGGAATTTAAGCTTGAAGAGCGGTATAGTGTGCCACACCCGGTCAAAAGCCTGTGCTATGTCCAGAAATGCACCCGAACAATATTGCTTCTTTTTTAGGGCTGAGGATATATAGTTAACAACTCGGAGTCCTTGTTGGACAGTGGAATGTTGGGAGCGAAATCCGAATTGATGGGTAGGACTTTTATGGTATTCTATTATGGGTAGGATTCTTTTCAGTAGGATCTTTTCAAAAATATTTGATAGGATTGGGAGTAGGCTAATTAGTCTATAGGATGATGTATTGTTTCCATAGAAGAGGAAAGTGGGTAGTTCTTAAGATGCAATTATAATTATATGTAAGGAATAGCTTTGGGTGGAAGTTTTCGAAGGATCAGGATTAAGAGGTCGTATCCAGGGGATTTACCAGGAGTGATATTGTGTAAAAGGTATTTGACCTCAAATGGATTAACTGCTTTAAGTGGTAAGGAGCTTCTCTCAGGTAACAGCTTCCCTACTACCTGCTGCAATTTTGTTAGTATATCTTCCAGTGGGAGTGCGAATTTTGCATAAACATTGATCAAGTCAAAGTTAATGCCTACGTAATCTACATTGGCAACTGAAATAAATCTATAATCCAGATCAGGCTGTGATGTAATTATAAGGCAATGATTAAACATCACCAGTGCGCTCTGTGGTGCATCGTGCAACCCACTTCCATTACTAGCAATGGTGCGGTCTTGCGGTTCAGTTCCAGACACATTCCCTCTCCTAGTAGCAGGTTCCTGAAGAGCACTAATATCTATGTTATTTAGTGAGGCCCTGCGTTTAAATTCTGACATTGCGAGCGGTCTCTTGATAAGATTGTGTTGGGCTATCGGGAGGGCAGAACTGTTATTGATTCTCGTTATATTTTGTCCTCATTACTAACCTTTCAATAGCTCTTTTGTATGATGGGCAGTCTTTGTCATTTGTCGGATAGTTAGATGCTGAGTTGGGTTTTACTGCAGTTTATACATTTTGGCGGTCCACCAGTCTTTTGTTTTGGGCAGTCTCCTGAAACCTCTCTCTCTCACTCTCTCTCTCTCTCTCTCTCTCTCTCTCTCTCTCTCTCTCTCTCTCTCTCTCTCTCTCTCTCTCTCTCTCTCTCTCTCTCTCTCTCTCTCCCCCCTCCCCCTCTCCCTCTCCCTCTCCCTCCCTCCACGACCCAACAATTGCATCCCAAACCATTCAATCTCACACCACAAACCTTGAAGAATGGTGTCAAAACTGGAGAATTAAAATAAATTTCAATAAATCCCATCAAATTACCTATACCCTTCGTCGTAACCTATGACTTCAAGTCCTACAGTATCCTTTAACAATACCCCACTTATGCTTGTTGAACAAATCTGATACCTAGGACTCCACATGGACAAACGTCTAACTTGGAATCCCTATACCAGACTGAAACGACAAGAAACCGCTCAACGTTTCAGATTACTTCAGCACTTACTAGACAAACACTCTAACCTTTCAATAAATTAAAAAGACTCATGACAAACATGACCATAATAAAACCTATTTGGACTTACGGAGTTGAGCATTCAATAAATTAAAAAGACTCATATACATGACCATAATAAAACCTATTTGGACTTACGGAGTTGAGCATTGGGGCTCAACTAAACCATCGAATTCCTCTCGTATCCAATCTTTACAATCCAAAATCCTTAATGCTCCTTACTTTGTAACAAATAAAATAATCCATAATGACCTGAATGTTCCATATGTTTACGATTTGGTCCAATCCCGATATCTATCCTTCCATAATAAACTTCAGAACCATCCTAATCCTCTCGTTTCTAACCTTGCTTCCTCCTCGATCCCTCATAACCCTCCTATGCATCTGAAAAGAAAATGGCCTTGTGATCTCCTAATTTAGATACTTTATTAGAGTGCTACCTATGGGTAGATCCTCCACAAGCCTTGTCATGTCATGTATTTCTTTTTATCACATTTGCTGAATGTATACAAATTTGTACAGTTGTAAATTTCATAAATAATAATTTTAAAAAAGTATTTTATTTCTTTGATTAGATAAAAGCATTAATGAGAAAGTTTACAGGAAATACTCGTAAACTAGTAGGAAGAAGTTAAGGTTTGCAGCATTATAATATGAGGCTTAATCTCATTTGTTAGATGTAAAAAATTAATTTTAAAAATACAAAAAAAGCATTACTGTGAAAAAAGTCTTTACACAACTGTCGTGCATATAAATTCATCGTCCTATTTATTTATTTATATTTGCCTTCGCAAATATAAGATATATGTATATAGGGTGTCCCATAAGTAGAGGGAAATATTTAGAGGAGTGATAGCAGACTTTAAGACCTACAAAAAACTTTATATGAACAATGGCCCAATTTTGAGCAGAAAAGTAGGAATTCAAGTGCGTTTTTGTAAGTAAGTCGCATTTTTTGTGGAATTGGGAGCGATATCTAAAACAATACTTAGTTTAAGTAACTAAGAGTTACTTCACAGTTGATTAGACAAAATTTACTTTAAATGAAAGTAGAGGTTGTAATTGGTAAAACCATTTAAAAGAGGACTTTTGTGCAGCTAAACTAAGCGAAGTTCTGCTTTTAAAAAAATCATAAATTATTTTTGATTTTTTTTTATCATCCTCCAACTATACTATAGATACCCTACTATTAGAAAAACTTCCTTGTTTAATAATCTCTAAGTCCATATTAATTAAGTTAAGGTTTAATAGGGAAAAATGTGAGATTCAGCTCAAGTTGTATAAGAAAATTATAAGATTTTATACCATGTCACCTAAAAGTACCCATGTTTTCCACAAAAATGACTACAACATATTACTGCAAACCTTTTTTTCCCATGAACTGGGATGTATTTTAATAAATTTAATTGTCTAAATACACTGTTCATTTAATATTTAATGTATCATTATTTACGAGAAGAAAAAATTATAACTAAAAAGTCTATTTAGGAAATTATGTTTATTATTATACATCCCAAATAATAGAAAAATGAGAAATAAAAGCTTTGGCAAAATTCATTGTAGTCATTTTAGCAGAAAACAAGAATACTTTTAGATGACTGATTAAAAAACCAGTTAATTTTTTTACAAAACTTGAGATGAATCCTCAGTTTTTTCAATACTAAACCTCAACTTAATTAATATGGACTTGAAACTTATTAAACGAGGAAGTTTTCTAAAAGTGGGGTATCTGTAGTATAGTTAGATGATGATAAAATAAAATCGCGACTAATTTATGATTTTCTTTATAAAGAGAACTTAGCTTAGTAGTTCAGTAGCTCAAAAATTAAATAGTTTTAAAAATGACAAACTCTATTTTCATTTGAAGTAAATTTTGTCTAGTTTACAGTGAAACAACTGTTAATTACTTATAGTAAATTAGTTATTGTTGGGATATTAAAAAGTTTAAGAAACAATGGATGAATCATTTTTCACAAATGACCATGGATGTGCCTTCACATGATAGTTTGATATCTAAATTACATTTGATGGTTTCAAGAATGATTGGTTCAACATACAGTCAGTATAAAAAAAAAAAAAGGACATACTTTTTTAACTATATAATATAATTTGTAATTAGAAAACATAACAAAAATCACAAAGGATGATCAAAGGGTAATATATCTATACAAATACTAACTATAATTATATAAATAAATAATTATATATTTGAAGTAATATGTTACACAATATTATACAATCTTCACAAGTATTAATTACATTACAAACTAAGTCTTGTAAAAACAAAATATTATTCTTTATACAGCACATTTTTTAAAACATTGAAAACTAAAAAACGTAAAACAAAAGAATCATTCTTTATACAGCACTATTTGAAAACTGTGGTCCTGCATATAATTTTGATTAAGAAACAAAATCAATTTAAATTAGATTATCTCAATCAACTCAACACAAAATACTTTGCATTATTATATTATTTATAATTCACTTTAAATATACATGATTTATGTTTCATAATCAATGACCATAAAAAAAAAACACCAACTTTCCTTGTATGATATAAAATTATAAATACTTGTATATAAAATAAAGTAAATCAGATAATTGCCATCAAAGTAACACTGACATGTTTTCGTTTCAGTAAAATATTTAGTAGAAGTTTTAAGAAGTGACCAATAAAACATTTTTCAAAATAATTAGAATATTTCAAATAATTCTACATAGATTGGGTATATCATTTAATAAACTATAGGACGCAACAGAAAAAATTTGTAATAGCTAAGTAATATGGACAAGTTTCATATAAATTGGTCCTTAATAATTATAAAATAAAATTACTGCTTTTGCACACATTAACATTCAGTAGGTATGAAGGTCTTCATCATTTGTTAAAATTAACAAAATCTAACATTCATTGGATTTTCAACATTGATTATAATTGAAACTGTTTTCAGTGAATCATTAACAATATAATGAATATAAAAATTATGTTGTCCAAAATAAGGATAAAAATTAGATTTTTGACTAAACCAAAACTAAATCACGTCTATTGTCAAGTAAATGATAATTTTAAAAAATATAAGGTCTTGTTTACTACTTTATTCAGGAATAAAGTATATCAAAAAGCATATATTATATGTAAGTGGGAGAATCTTTTAAATTTGTTCCACAGGCATCGCATAATGTGACTCCCTTTTCATTGACAAGGGTACACTTTGGACACTGCCTACCACCACTGATAAGAGGTTGAACCTCATTTCCTAAAGTTTTACTTTTACTACATATTTCACAAACTTCTTTCTCATTACTGTTATGGAAAGTACAAGCAGAACACTCCCATTTATCATTTAATTTAACTTTTAAAGACATATAATTTATATCATGTTTTTTAATATTTTCACGTCCAAGTGTTTGAGTTGAATTCTGGAGTGTACTATTAAATTCATGTTTAGACTTTTTCCTTATAATTTTATTTTCAGATGATTTTAAATCAGCCGTAGAACAAGACGGCTGTGAATTTAAATGAGAATCCCCCATACTAAAAGCCTTTAAAGCTTCTTCAAGTTCTTCATTTTTAATGAAATCGTCATTTGGCCTTTGTCTTTTGTCAATTGAATATTCATATTTGTGATTTTTTATTTTATTTTCAGGAGAATGATATGATGTTCCTCCTCCCCAACTATCCCAACCAGGATCTTTAGATTTATACTTCAACAAATTTGAATTACTGTCATTCAGGCTACTATTACAAATTCTACCATCAAATTTATCAATATTTCTTTGATTGTCGTTATCATAAATATAATTATCTTTTCCCAGGTAAGATGACTCTAACTCAATAAGTTGTGCAGTAGGAACAGAACAAGTATAATTTTGCCGTAAAGAAGGATTAACTGCAAAATCTTTTTGGCAAGTTGCACATTTGCTCAAAGAATTACTCATAGAACAGGAATGAGATGACAAAGGAATTCCATTAGAAACATTACCAAAATAAGGTAACTGCAAATTATTAGGATATCTATAGTGAGGATGATTATAGCCATGCCTTTCTTGAATATTATGAGCTTTTGAATAACAGTCAGATCTACAAGGGTTTAAATATCTTTGGCTATACTGAAACATCAATCCATGAAGTGCCTGCTCTAGGGAACATGGCTGTAATTCTCTGTATTCTAGAATCTCAAGCCAAGAACAATCAAAACCACTTTTGATTAAATCAGTTTTTAATGAACACAAGATCTGAAAAAAAATTAATGCACATTAATAATCAGTATTTAATTGAATCTAATAATTACCAAAAATTTTAATCAATAACTCCAACTTAAATATAGTAAATTTAAAAAACAACTGAAATCAGCTAAATTCAAAGGTAATTGAATTGAAATGTTAACATTCTCTTGGCATTGGAACAATGTTAATTCCAAACAAATCAGTTGGTTCCTCATATCAAGAAAAAGGCATTACTCTTTGAATTTGTTTTTATTTATTTTATACGAAGCCAGATCTCCAAGAAGGTAAGTGAATCAAATCTGTAGTATAACCAATGAAAATTAATAATAATAATTATTATTGCCCCAATTTATAATCACCAAATGAAGAATTGGATGGAATGAGACAATTAATTAAAATAGATAACATTCTGAAAGCGATGGAAAAAATTGCAGGCAACTTCATTCAATTAATTTCCAATTGTTTGTTTCCTAATATCGCTATAATGTTACAGTAAAAAAACTAAAACCTTAAGGCATTCTAACAAAACACTGTTTTTTTTCTTTCCAGAGAGATAATCCATGTCATAAAAAATATCGGACTTTCTCCACTAAGGCTAAAATTCAATACTCTTAAGAAAATTTAACTGGTTTGGGAAATGATGATGGCTCTCAAAGAACGATTTTTGTCAAGAATTAATAAGTACAATATGCTGAAAGAGTTATTACTATTATCATGGCACTATAATCCTGCAAGAACCCATGCCTCCTCCACTATAGCCAACCAATCTCGACGATCTTGTGTTTCCACCTTCCATTTTCGAACATCCAGCCAGCTCAGATTATCCTCCACATCATACAGCCATCTGATCCAGTGAGTAAGTTTGTAATGTGGGCTTTTCATGATAAATTAGCATCAGTTTATTTTTTTGCCTTGCCACATTTTAAAATCAGAACAAAAAAGGAATGAAGCAACAGTCTCATTTCAAGAAATAGAATGGAAATGAACAAAACGAGCGATTTCGGAATGGAATGGAACAGAATGAGTGATCTTGGAATGAGTTTGAGAATGGAATGGAATGAAATGAGCGATCATTGGAATGAGTTTCGCAATGGAATGGAACAAACGGAATAGTCTTGAATTGGTTGCAGGAAACAATTCCTCCTTTAGGATGGTTTGAAACAGTTCTAAAATACAATGTGCTGAGTACCTGATCAGTTTAATTATTTCCTTTGATTCCAGTGTACCTTTCGGAGAATGTTGCTCTTCAATGTACCTAAAAGGTACTTTTTTTCTTCATTTTTCTGTACTTCTCTCCATTTATCTTCATTTTCTTTTGTCTTTATGATTTTTCTGTCACTTAAAATAGTTTTAGTAGAAATATAAATACGAAATAAACTTTATTCTGGGACGATGTCCCCTTAGAATAACAATAATGAACAGTTACAAAAGAAAAAATACATATCTGACCAAAAACTAACTTAATAAAGATTCAAACAATATATACAATAATTTAAATAATAGTATGTACACAACTAAAATATTAAATAAAATCTTCTAAACTATACTTCTAATTGCACTGGAAAAAAAAAAGAATTACATGTATAGAAAGAAAAAGCAAAACCTCCAGAAAAGAAAAAATATCAAAAGTAAGTAAATAAAAAGTATTGACTTTTTATGTTAAAACATACAAAATATATACATAGATCACAGTATTGCAATATCCCGGCATAACGTTTGCCATCCAAACCCAGTCCCTTCAGATCGGCTTTAATGCAATCTTCCCACCTTCGCTTCGGTCTACCCCTCGACGTTTACCATTCGGCACAGCAAATATTAACCTTTTAGGAATTCTCTCGTTACTAAGCCCAACAACTTTACAAGCCCATTTGATTCGCCGCGATGAAATTACCTCAATTATATTACCCGGATACAGTCTCACGCAATTCGGCGTTGTGTAACCGTCTGAACTCTCCGGTTAACTCATCCTTCTTCGGTCCGAATATTCTACGCAATACTTTATTTTCAAAAACCTTAAGACGCTGCTCATCCCTTAATGTAAGCGGCCAAGTTTCGCATCCATAAAGAACTGTAGGCAAGATGATTGTTTTATAGATTCTAATTTTTAAGTTTCGGGACAAGAGGCGCGAACTAAGTAGTTTTGTCACAGAAAAATAACAAGCATTTCCCGCCTTCAGTCTAACCTTAATCTCTTCTTCAATTTCGTTTTTTCTAGTTATCGTAGAACCTAGATACCTAAATTTATCTACCTGTTCAAACATATTACCATCTATATCGATATCACCATTTTTGCAGCTAACCATATATTTTGTTTTATCCACGTTTATTTCGAGTCCTAGTTCTTTACCGGCTTTCATTAACGTTGTCGTATTTAGTTTTATAGTTTCAACGTCTTCGCTTAACAGTACCAGATCATCAGCATAGCCCAGCACGGATGTTGTCCCGCCCAGATCCAACCCTTTTTCGGTACGCATTACCTCCCTAATGACATGTTCTAATGCCAAATTGAACAGGACATGCGAAAGGAAATCTCCCTGCTTTAAACCCGAATGAACCTCAAATTTTTCGGACAAATTATTACCGATTCTAACTTTATTTAGTGTTTCCGTCAAGCACATCCTGACTAGATTTACTAGTTTTTTTGGAATCCCCTGCTGGATTAGAATATTATACAGTTTCTGGCAGTCAATAGAATCGTAAGCCTTTTTAAAATCAATATTCAGCTGGTGAACAACACCGTTGTACTCTAATTTTTTCCATAAAGAAAATATTTGATCAATAGTCGATTCCGTCTAAATCCGCATTGGTAGTCTCCAATAATTCCCTCGGCGTATTCTGTAATTAGACTAGTTAAGATTAAAGTGAATATTTTATAACATAACAAAAGGAGAGAAATTCCTCAATAGTTACTACAATCCGTCCTCGGGCCCTTTTTGTGAATCGGAATAAGAATAGATTCTTTCCATTCTTCAGGTAATTTCTCATTCACCCAGATCTTTTTAACCACGATGTATTTTAGAAACTCCAGCTTCCCCGCATGCCTTAATTAGTTCAGTAGGAATATTATAGGTACCCGCTGCTTTATAAGATTTTAATTTTCTGATAGCTACTTCAACTTCCTCTTTACTCGGTTCTTTTATTCTGGTATGTTCAGCACTCTGGTACTCAGAAGGAGGACACAGATCACAATTTTCCGTATTTAAAATATTGTCAAAGTGGTTCTTAAACTTATTAAATATGTCAACCGGATCGGTCAGGCTATTGTTATTTTCATCCCTAATTCCAGACATGCCTAATTTCATCAGACGGGCCCTAAACATTTACGTGATCTGTTTATATCTTTGTACATCTCTCTAACGTAATTTTCGATTCTATTAGTTTCTATTTCAATTATTTTATTTTTAAGATACTACCTTTTTTTATTTTTGAACAATTTTGTCATTCCATTCTTTGAGGTTCGGAAGTATTCCAGATTGTCCTCGTTAGGATTATTTAGAGCTTTTAATTCAGCAGCATTTTTTTTCACACATATATAAGCAATCCTTATCAAACCATGGTTTGTTAATCTTATTTTCCTTTTTTCCTAGACGTGAGGAGTTACCGACCGCTTCAATATTATCCCTGATCTCTACCCATAACTTGTCAATATCCTCGCGATCCTCATCAGAAAGCTCTAAAGCTTTAAACCTATTTTTAACATTCAGCTTGAATTGGGTTCTAATTGATGGATTTTTTAATTTTTCCAAATTAAAATTCTCAAAATTGAAAAGGTTTTCTTTTCTCTTTTTTACATCAAGTTTTTCTCAAAGTTTCACGATTACTAATTCATGATCCGACCCACATTCTGCTCCGCGATAAGATGGTACATTAATTATATTGCTTTGCCAGCTATGTTGTATCAAGATATGATCGATTTGATTTCTTGTTTGCGAATCTGGTGATGTTTAAGTATATTTATGAATATCCTTATGTTTAAATGTAGTACTTTTAATTATCAGGTTTTTCGAGATGGCAAAGTTTGTCAGACGGATCCCATTATCATTACTATATTCGTGCAAACTTTCTTTACTAATCGCCAGAACATAAACTTCTTCCCAGACCACTTTTGCGCTTGCGTCACCTACAATTTTTTTCATGGAGTTTCGCAGTAGTTTATCATAAACCCATTTGAGTTTATCGTAAAATTTTTCTAAGTGGTTTTCTAAGTGATAACATCATTGGCCCCTTCTTTTTGCCACCTAGGCTGTCAGGTATATCTTACTTGCATTTTTTGCAAAATAATCTTCATGAACTCCTAGAAGATATTCTATTTGCTAGGCATTAGGCAAAGGCTGTGGTTTACGCATGACGGTCCTTCAGCTCAATTTTCAAACAGTGTCACTAATTATTTAAATGCAACTTATGGAGACCGATTGAGGTTGATCGAAATGGACCTGTTAAATGGTCAACACAATCTCCGGATTTAATGCCATTAGATTATTTTGTGTGGAGCTGGATGAAGTCTATGGTTTATTCTGTGGCAGTTGGCACGCAAGAAGAGCTAAGGAAGCCACAGTTACTATCAAGCACCATCCTGATGCTATACCAAGAGCCAGAGAAGCATGGATTCGTCATGCTGAATGTTGTATTCAACAAAACGGAGGCCCCTTTGAACAGTTACTCTAAATGTTGTAATAATAATAAATAGATAGTAATAATAAATCTTTATCCTTTGATATCTGTTTAATAAATGAGTTTGAGATATATGTTAATATGAACTTTTTTGTTTATTTTGTGTTAGTGAACACATACCTAAAATAGTGCCGTGCAATTACAAAACCTGGTCGAAAACCAGATTGGAAAGAGTCTAATAGATTGGAATGTTCAAGGAGATTGGAAACTTGGGAATGCACAATTCTTTCCAGGGGTTTTGAAAGATTGGAAAGAATTGAAATTGGATGGAAATCTTTGGAGGAAGAAGAGTTAGGATTTTTATTTAAAGGATGAATGGTGGCTTTCTTCCATGAGGTAGGAAATTCTGAGTTTTGTAGGAAGAAATTATATACGAAAAGGAGAGAAAGGATTTCAGGAAGGCATAGTTTGATTAATTTGGCCAGAATGGCATCTGGACCAATAGAATTGGAATGTGATCACATCACGGCAGATATGAGGTCTGTGGGCAAGATGTATAAAAAGTAAAAGTTGTCGTCGTTGATGGATATACCAGGAGAAGAGAAGGAAGCAGTGAAACTGGAAATACTGCTGAAGGCAGCAACACACCTCTTCTGGAGATCCTTAATTTGCTGACACATCCAGGGAGAGGGACGGCGATGAAAAGTAGAGGTTTTGAGAGGGGCGTGGGCTTCAAGGATATTAAGAAGATTGGAGGTGAGTATACCCACCATGGCATCAATTGTGGAACAGGAATATAATATATTCCAGTCTAGGGTTTCCAGGCTGGTTAAGATTTTATTATTATGAGTATCTGCTTCATTATTTTCTATCTTGTTCAAAGTGTTTTGTTCAAAACAAAATTGGAACGGAACAAATTCCAATGGTAGAATGTTCAATGACTAAAATGCCTGCCGATGGTTGGAACTAGCCAGAGACCCCTTCTCTGGTAAGTAGTGGAATCTACCAATGATGGCCAGCACCCTAGGGAGAGGAAGCGAAGGTGACAACAAGGGTTGGTCAGGTGGCTCCCCGTGCCGCAGGCGGAAAACGCCTCTTCGGTCGGCTTGGGATTGATGAGGTAGGCTAGAGCCTGGCAACTCGCCCACGAGCCTGTCAGGAGGCTCTGAGGAGGCAGCCCCTCTACCTGACTAGGAGGGGGAGGGCTGATATCCCTCCCCTCTGAAACTTCTTCATCCCGAGACTTCAACGAGAAATAGCCGGCAGATCATATGGTAACAGACACGGAAACCGTCAAATGGACTTCAGACTAGGAATGTGGAACATTTTAACTTTATATAGACCGGGTGGGCTTCAAGTCCTCCTTTCAGAACTGGACAAATACAGACTTGACATTACTGCTCTTCAGGAGATTCGCTGGACCGGCCATGGGCTGTTGGAGAAGAAATTCCATACAATATATTATAGCGGCCACGAGAAGAATCACTCATTTGGCACTGGGTTCGTTGTGAGAGGTTGGATGAGACAACAGGTTATTGGATTCAACCCTATTAATGACCACCTATGTTCCATCCGCATCAAGGGAATCTTCTACAATTACATGCTCTTTAGCTGTCATGCACCCACAGAAACCTCAAGCAACGATGAGAAAGATGCCTTTTATGATGCCCTGGAACGGGCCTTTGATGCATGCTCCAGATCCGATATTAAAATCCTACTGGGGGATTTCAATGCAAAGATTGGAAGAGAAGATGCATATAAACCCACGATTGGCTCATTCAGTTTGCATGAGGGAAGCAATGAAAACGGTCAAGAGGGACATTGATTTTGCGGCATCGAGAAATCTAGAAGTACTCTATTCCCGGGCCGGCGGATTTACAAGGTTACATGGAAATCAGCCGATGGCGTTATCCATAACCAGATTGACCACGTCTTAATTAGTGCACGTCACAAATCCAATCTCCTTAGTAGTAGAACTTACAGGGGAGCAAATGTTGACTCTGACCATTACCTTGTAATATCAAGAATTAGAGCCAGGATTGCCATCATCAGGAGCCAAAGGACTGAAAGGTCCAAAAGGTGGAACATCGGAAAGTTGAAGGACCCAGAAAGCTGCCAAGCATTTCACCAGAAAATAGAAGAATTGGTGAGAGATGGGCTCAGAGTAGCTGACGTCGAAAGTTTACAGGATGTCTGGGACCAACTGGAAAAGGCTTTGGAAGGCGGAGCAGAACAAATCCTTGGGAAGGAGGTTCTTGAGGGTCGAGGTAAATGGTTCGACGAGGAGTGTAAGCTGGTCAATGATACGAAAAATGAAGCTTACAGAAACATGATAAATAAGCGCTTCACCAGGAGAGCCACGGAGGAATATAGAAATAAAAGAAGGCTGGAGAAGAAACTCCTCAGGAATAAGAAGAGAGCATGGGAGAGAAAGGAGCTGGAGGATATAGAGGCCCATTGGAGTGTAAAAGAAAGCAGAAAATTCTTCCAGAAGGTCAATAGTGGGCATGCCGCTTTTAAGCCTAGGATACAAACATGCAAGAAAAAAGATGGAACACTGCTTACCGATAAGTCGGATATATTGGATCGGTGGGCTAAGCACTTCCGTTTGTTATTAAATGAGGAAGCGGTTATAGAAGATATAGAGGCAGGCGACATGGAGTGGCGAGTCTTCTCTTCAATCTTGCACTGGAGAAGGTTGTGCGGGATTCAGGAATCCAGACGGATCACACGATATTCACCCATACTGTACAGATATTGGGATACGCTGACGATTTGGATATCGTAGCCAGGACACGATCGGCATTGGTAAAGGCCTTTAAGAAACTAATGGACGCTGCTTCAACCATGGGATTGGCCATAAACGAGGAAAAAATGAAATACATGCATACAGGGACTGGTGGCGACGAGGAACTGAGTGTTGGCCCTTATAAGTTCCAAAGGGTGAATGAGTTTACATATTTGGGAACTGCAATAAATGATGTCTCTGTTGAGATAAAGAAAAGGCTTGTGGCAACAAGTAGAGCATATTTTGCCTTACTGAAAACTCTCCGCAGCAGATCCGTTACCAGGGGCACTAAACTGGTCATATACAAGACGCTTATACGCCCGGTTCTTACCTATGCTTCCCAATCCTGGACCATCTCAAGAAGAGACGAAAAAAATCTTCTGATTTTCGAAAGGAAAATCTTACGCCGAATAGTTGACCCAGTGAGAGATGGATATGGATGGAGGATTAGGAGGAACCGAGAGCTTTATGACCTCTACAGGGATATGGACATTGTAAAGTTTATTAAGCTGGGGAGGCTCAGTTGGGCTTGACATGTCGCTAGGATGAAAGTGGAAGAAATTCCTAAAAAAGTAGTGGACAACGCCCTTCATGGTACGCGACGGCCTGGTAGGCCAAGGCTTCGATGGGTTGATGGAGTGGCAGCCTGCGGAGCCTGCTACGGATCAGAAGCTGGAGAGCGGCAGCACAAAATCGGGCCGAATGGCGGCGGCTCATTGAGGAGGCCGAGACCCATCCAGGGTTGTACCGCCACGCAGATAGATAGATAGATAGAATTTTCAATTCCGACCTGCAGTCGGAATTGTCTATCGCTGCCTATCAGCCTCAAATTTCAGCCTTTCTGGAAAGAGGTCTATGTTTATCAAGACATGACAACTTTTTGGAAAATAATAGCACAATGTTTGATTAGAACATCATAAGGTTTTAGTTTTTTTGTAGCACTATCTTAGAATATTAATAGGAATAAAGAAATAACTAATTAAAAACATGCAATTGTCTAAGATTTTTTCTATAGCTTTCGAGAATTTGTTTACATTAAGTAACTGACATGGTTTGCTCAATTCTCCATTGAGTAATAATGAACTTCTGATGAACAGTAATAATTAATATTAATTTATACTGCTTACATTATAGATTTTATTCACTTCAATTCTTGTGGAGCAGACATAAAAGGAAATAAATAAATGAAAATTCAAAGAGTGACACCTCTTTCTTGATCTAAGAAATCAGCACTGCTCCATTGCCGAGGAAGAGTATCCATTTCAGTTAATTCTTTGCGGATCAAGGATCATATTGGTCTAGTTACAAATATCAACTTATCTCAACTTTAAATGAGTACTTTTTTAAAAAAAAATTAGCACCCTAATTATGCAATTCTGACCACTGTGCAGCAATCACAATTCTGATCTTTGAATGGACAATGTACTCCATCCTTATGGTGTGCGATTCCATGAAATTTGTATATAATTATAATTTGTTCATATATGATGCACATAATAATTAAAAAACTTACCTGACATTCAACTAAAGCAACAAGTGAGTCTCGTGAGACATTGACAACTCTATCAGGATCAACAGGTCCTTCGAGTATATATGTACCATCATCTCCAATTGGTCTGTATCCCATTAAAGTTAACATCAATTCAGCACCTGTTAAGCCACTCTCAATATTATGCTTAAAATAACCACTATAAACCTGCAATAACAAAAAAAGGTTAAGCATGTACAACTTATAGTTTTAGTTGTAAGAAGAAAACAATTCAATTAATAACTCTAACCATTGCCAACAAAGGCTGGGATAACATTTAACAGTAAATTTTAGAATTATTTACACTGCAAAAATTATTTACACTGCAAATCTTTGACCTCCTCTATTAATCTCAACCATTTAAATTGAAGTTTTATAATCTTGAATCTTCATAATTTACACGAAGATGTAAAAATCCAAAATTGGTTTATATTATTTTCAGTATTATCAGTTATGGGTTAACAAAATGTGTTAACATAAATAAAACTAGCTGCAAATATTTTAGGCATAACTAGTCCACAATCCATATGTACAAAATATTTTGATAGAGCAAATCCAATTTTCATGAACTGCTTTCACTAACTCTGTGAACTAAGAAAAAAAGTTTCTAAAGGTGTTATATTCGGGGTTTGAATTTGAGGATTAATTTTTTGGTCTAATCAAAACAGCTGTTAGATTTTATTAACATTGCCATTAATTTTTAAATAAAAGTTAAAATCAATTGGCAGAATTTATGCATTTTGATAAAAATTAATAGTTAATTTCTGACTTATATTTGCTTAAAATCCAAATTAAGTTTCTTTAACTGATTATTTGTTTTTAGTTGAAAAATATCTATAACTTTTTGAGCATTTTTTAAGGCTATTAATAGCTTATTCTTGAGCAGTATTTCTTCGTTTAAAATAAAACTCAAAACACTTTATCTTGCTTAAAATTAGAGCTAACAACTAACTGAAAGTAGTTTCATGTGGTTCTAATAGTTTTATTTCATTATTATATAAAGTTTTTATATAATACTGTGATGCAGAACAAACTTTACAAAGTAATGGCTGACATGGGAACTCCTTCCAAATCAATAAGACTGGCAAAATGCTCAAGGCCCAAATGAATAATTCAAATTGAGTGTTAAGGAAATATCTCTGACCCTTTTCAATAGAATCGTAAGCCATTGTTTCTGTCAATAGAATCGTAAGCCTTTTTAAAATCTATATACAGCTGGTGAACAATACCGTTGTACTCCAATTTTTTCTCTAATATTTGCCGTAAAGAAAATATTTGATCAATAGTCGAACGATTCCATCTAAATCCGCATTGGTAGTCTCCGATAATTTCCTCGGCATATTCCGTGATTCGACTGGTTAAGATTAAAGTGAATATTTTATAACATAGCGGAAGAAGTGAAATTCCTCGATAGTTATTACAATCCGTCCGTCCTCGGACCCTTTTTGTGAATCGGAATAAGAATAGATTCTTTCCATTCTGTAGGTAATTTCTGGTTGACCCAGATCTTTTTAACCAACCGATGTATTTTAGAAACTCCAGCTTCTCCGCATTAGTTCAGTAGGAATATTATCGGTTCCCGCTACTTTATAAGATTTTAATTTTCCGATAGCTACTTCAACTTCCTCTTTACTTGGTCCTTCTATTAACAGTTAAGCACTCTGGTACTCAGAAGGAGGACACAGATCATAATTTTCCATATTTAAAATATTATCAAAGTGGTCTTTAAACTTATTTAATATGTCAACCGGATCGGTCAGAATATTGTTATAATCATCCCTAATTCCAGACGTTACGGGCCCCCCACATTTACGTGATTTGTTTATACCTTTGTACATGTCTCTTACGTTATTTTCGATTCTATTAGTTTCTGTTATTTTCGATTCTATTAGTTTCTATTTCAATTATTTTATTTTTAAAATACTCCATTTTTTTATTTTTGAGCAATTTTGTCGTTTCGTTCTTTGAGGTTCGGAAGTATTCCATATTGTCTTCGCTAGGATTATTTAGAGCTTTTAATTTAGCGGCTTTTCTTTTTTCACACATGTTTAAGCAATCTTCATCAAACCACGGTTTGTTATTCTTATTTTCCTTTTTTCCTAGACACGAGCTACCGACCACTTTAATATTATCCCTGATCTCTACCCATAACTTGTCAATATCCTCGCTGTCCTCGTCAGGAAGTTCTAAAGCTTCAAACCTATTCTTAACATCTAGCTCGAATTGGGTTCTAATTGATGGATTTTTTAATTTTTCCAAATTGAAATTCTCAAAATCGAAACGGTTTTCTTTTCTCTTTTTTATATCAAGTTTTTGTCGAAGTTTCGCGATTACTAATTCATGATCCGACCCACATTCTGCTCCGCAATAAGACGGTACATTAATTATACTGCTTTGCCAGCTATGTTGTCTAAAGAAATTTATCTCACATATTTTAATATAGATAAAGATCAAATAATAATCAATCAAACTAATATTTTCTTTACTTTCTCTTTTTTATTATTGTTTTATTTTGGCCAGATGTAGTATTTTAATTATGTTCTATTTTGTTATTCTAAAGGGACTTTGTCCCAGAATAAAGTTATTTTCTATTTCTATTTCTAATCATGATAATAAGACTTAACGAACCCTCCCTATAAACTCTAAAACCTCCCTACACTGGCCAGCATCTAAACCGAGTCCTGCCAGATCAGCCTTGACAAAATATTCCCACCTTCGCTTCAGTCTACCTCTTGGACGCTTGCCAATCAGCACAGCACATATTAACCTTTTAGAAATTCTTTCGTCACTATGCCCAGCAGTTTTACATGCCATTTTATCTGCCGCAATAGGCATTGTGTAACCATCTAAATTCCCTGGTTGACTCATCCTTCTTCAGTCCGAGTATTCCACACAATACTTTATTTTCAAAAACCTTAAGATGTTGCTAATCTCTTAATGTAAGCGGCCACATTTCGCATCCACAGGTAGAAGAATGGTTTTGTAAATTCTAATGTTTAAGTTATGGGAGAACAAGCACAAGCTAAGTTAGTTTTGAAACAGAAAAATAGCAAGTATTTCCCCCCTTTAACTTCCTTAACTTCCTCTTCAATTTAATTTTTTCTTGTTATCTTAGGCCCTTAATACATAAATTTCTCTACATAATCAAACGTATTCCCTTCTACATCTATAACACCAAAATTGTTGCCATTTTTTCTGCTAACCATATATTTTTGTTAGCCTGTATTTAATTTCATCAAATAAATAAAATCATAATTTATTTATGACTTACTTACTTACTATTTTTTAGTTTTTATGTTATTCCTTAAGTCATTTTTCCAATCATAATTTCAACAGAAAATAGTAAAGATGGAAAAATAAAATACAAAGAAGTAAAAACAAATCACTAGTATATTTATATACATTAAAGATATCTTAAATCAAAATCTTTTCAATTCTAACTTAAAATACAACTAATCAATTAAAGTGTATAAGGTTTTTATTGAATATAATTACTTTAATTTCCCTGAATTCTTTTCTCCATGATTGTGCTAACAGATTATGGGCATAAGCAGCAATGGCTGTCCATGCAGCAGATGCTCCATATCCACTGAAATTTTCCTTTTCTTCAGCACTTTTATGAAGAATATGGCTTGTTTCGCGATAACAAAACTTTTTTTCATGTGGAGCAACCATCAGGTAATCTTTTATATGTCCTAAAACGTAATTTTAGTGGAATTAAATCAGGAAATCTTATAAATATCTTTAAGGTAAAATTTAGACAATTAGATATACTAAAATATATAAAAACTGAACTTTTAACAAATCAAGTGACACTAAATCCATATTGAGGGCGTTGAAGCAAGGGTCCCTAAGGGTCCAGTTGGAATTTTGTGTGTTCGATTTCCACCTGGGTCAGTTAATATGTATTTCTTACCGGTCCTGAGCAATGAATCTTGACTCACAGTCCAGTTAGCATGTCAGGGGTTAGCAAAAAAAGACCACTAGGCCCTCTTGCTGGACAAGTTTCCTCACTAGTACCAATATTATTGGGTTGTACAGAAAATAATGCAGAATTTTGAATTTTATTTAAAATACCACTCTACATAACAAACTGTTTACGTTTAATGGATGATTCATTTGTATGAATGACAACACTTATTAATCCTCTTCCAAATGATGATTTTTGTTTACCTCTGTAGCATTTCACTGCTTAGAAATAACTCAGTCTTTACTAAGATGTCAACGCGTGATTTTGGTATAATTTTGTTTTACGGGTTTAAACTCTGCCAGAATGGGGTCCAGACGGCCAGAAACATCAATCAAATCTGTGGCGAGAGCAGCATTAATGAGTGCACTGTTCAATGGTGGTTCGAAAAATTTCAGGAGGGAGACTTCAGCCTTGAAGACAAAGAAAGTTGTGAAAGGACTTTCTCTCTAGATGACGATGTTCTGCGGGCTTTGGTGGAAGAAAACACCAGAACAACTGTTCTAGAACTTGGAGAGAAACTTAACCTTATCAAATCGACTGTCGATGACCACCTCAAGGTGATTGGAAAGGTAAAAAAGCTTGAAAGTTGGATTCCACACTCATTAAACGACTGCCAAAAAAATCAGCGTTATGAAGTTTGTGCTACACTTCTTTGGCGAAACAAAAACGACCCTTATCTGTCCAGAATTGTTACTTGTGATGAAAAGTGGATACTTTACAATAACAGTAGACGTTCTGGACAGTGGCTCGACAATGGGGAATCAGCAGAACATTTTTCAAAGCCCCCAACTCATCAAAAAAAGGTGATGGTAACTGTTTCGTAGGCTTCATTTGGTTTGATACTACAGCTTCGTAAATCCTGGAGAAAGCATCAATGCCGAATCTATATTGTAACCAAATTAATGCAATGCATCAGAAATTGGCAATAATGAAGCCTTCTTTGGTCAATCGGAAGGGGCCCATTTTTTTGCATGACAACGCCAGGCCACATGTCTCACGTGTGACGTCATAAAAACTGTTGCAATTTGGATATGAAACTCTGGCACATCTGCCCTACTCTCTGGACCCCTCGCTTACGGATTATCATTTTTTTAGACACCTGGTCCACTACTTACATGATAAAAAATTTAATGGACAAAGGGAATTAGAAAATGCATTTTTGGAGTTTATCAATTCTAAGGATAGGAAATTCTATTCCGAGGGAATGGAAAAATTGGCAACACTTTGGCAGAAATGTATTGACAGTAGTGGAGACTATTATGATTAAATAAAACAGTTATAAATCGTTCTTTTTGAACCAAAATCCTGCATTAATTTTCGGACAACCTAATAATACCAAAGTCACTAAAAATAATTAAGTAAACTTAGACCAAAAGAATTGTGGTGAACTCTAAGCAATTTTGATAATACAATTCAATTATTCCAAATACCTATTAGAATCAATGCTAATTCATACTTTCAGACAAACACAGTCACTTTTTAATAATAAAGACGGTGAGTAAATTGTTGACTGTTGGAAGCAATTGTTAATTACAAAGAAAGACCAAGAAGTTTTATTCAAAGATCAGACTAGGGCAGTTTTCCAGGAAGATGGGAATATGGAATTTTGCAAGGAAAAGTTGTTAATGTGGTAAAGTTCGGGAATAAGGAACGGAAGGTTGGATTTTATTAGTTTTACTGGAATATTATCAAGACCATACATAATCATAAAGGAGTGGGGTAGCTCAGTGGTCGAGTACTGAACTTCCAATGCTAAAGGTCCCAGGTTCGAATCTCGGCTCATGGCAGAAAAAATATTTATTCTGTTTCATTGACCATTGGGTGACCCTGGAGTAGGGAGACCCTCCTGGGGCACACCCAGCCTCTACAAAGTGGATACCCTTAATTAAAATAATTGATTAAGGTGAAAAACCTGACGGTTGAGCATGATTCTGCCCCGATCCACTCCCTGCACAACTGTTGGCCTTGAAACAGTACCTTCCCTCAATAGTACTGAACCCAAGACCCTTCATAGGTTGTAGTGGGACAGGTTTTTTTTTTTTTTTTTTTTTTTTTTTCCATTTACATAATCATGAGCGTGAGATTTTAGGATAGTGGAAAGTAGTTTGTTGTAGGACACATGGGTGAAAAAGAAGTCTTCAGGATTGAAATTATGATCTTTGATATCGGAAGTAGGAAAAGGACTATGAGTGAAGAATAAGAAATGGTTGTTGATGTCATTTGGGTTCACCGGCAAGGAACTGAGATTATTTGATTCTGGAAGGGACAGATTATGGAGAATATTCCATTTGGATTTGGAATCAGGAGCATTGGAAATTGAATTATGAAAGTAGGTGGCTTTAGCAAGTCGGATTGTGGATTGGGTTCCATTGCAAAGTTGCTTAATAGATGCATAATCAGGGTGGCTACCAACAATTGTTAGAGTAAAATTCCCTGACTTTTCCCTGTTTAATAAAAGTTTTGTCTGACCAATATGTCAGGGAACACAAATGATAAAAATGTATAGCTTATAGTTTATAAATAATCCATTTATTATACATGATAGAAAATTGAAAGATTGGAGTAAAAAAAGTATGTTCAGTCTTTTAAATAACAACTATAATGTTTAAGAGGAAGCATTTTTTAAACTTGATTAGGATTTTTTTTTTAACCATTTTATTTAAGAAAACTAAAATTTAAGTAATTTATTTTTATCGTCTTTATTTTATTTTCATAAAGTAAAGAATGTAAAAGTTGATACTTGACTTTTATCTATTATAAAATAAAGTGAGCTATGGGTGATTCTTATTTTGATATAGTTCCACGTAAGCAATTTAGTTTTTTTATTACCACAAAAAGAGTAATAATTATCCATACGATACCAACTGTGAGACGGGACGGCTGTGACATAATTTTTGCTAGGGAAATTGCTTGGACTAGTAAGGAGGTGAACATCTATCGACGGGTTCTCCTAGGTATTGAGCCAGATGTGTGGTAGGGGGAGCACCTAGAAGGTCACTTTTTTCGGGTTTTCACTTAAACAGGAATACTATTCATTGCATCGACAAAGACGTTCTATACAAAATTAAAGCTAATAAAATTTGCAATATGATTGATTATATGCCATTTTTTGCTAGCTTGCTTAGTTTCTGAGATATCCATTCTCAACTATCACTAATTTGGAAAAAAAAAATGTTATCTCATGTTTTTTTACTGTATTTGACTGCTTCATTCTACGATTAAGTCATGGAAAAGAAATTTTTTAACAAGTAAATTTTCTTCAAGAATATTTATAATTTTACTAGTTTATCTTCAATGGTTCAAAAGTTAAATAAATTATAACTTTATATGTCAATTCTGAGAAATTGCAGACAAATTCAATTTTTATAATATTCGTTATTATATTGCTCTAATCCTCTATAAATCTAAATATCTATGTATATATATATATATATATATATATATATATATATATATATATATATATATATATATGTATACATATATACAATAAGGTATATTATAAAAAACAATTTTTTATGCAAATTCTCGGAATTGACATATAAAGTTATAATTTATCTAACTTTTGAACCGTTGGAGATAAACTAGTAAAATAATATATATTCCAGTCTAAAGTCCTCCTTATTATGTTACGAACAAAACCTTACATCATGAGCTCTACATCCCTTATGTACTTGATGTTATTCCATCCGATTCTCAAATCGGATTTTCACCTGAACCTAATCCACCATCCTAATCTCTTAGCACAATCCTTATCCAGCTCCAGTCATCCCTACAATCCTCCTCGAAGCTTGAAACGGCAGTGGCCTCGAAATATTCTGTGAAAAAGTCACTGGAGTTCTGGGAATGGCCAGCTTCTCCACTCAAGTCATGAGCATCTGTGGCTTTAGTGTCCTCTCTGTCTCCACTGGACTCTAATGCCGGTGACACGGCTGAGAGAGAAACACTGGATCTCTTAGAGTCTCGGCTTGTCCTTCATACGTGGGGGAAAGGGCTGGACTCAGAGCTCCCTCGGCTGATATTGTAAATAAGTATGAATGGTTTTTTTCTTGAAATCTTTTTTTTTTTTTATTCATCTATTTATTTATTCACTTATAATTTATTTATTTTCGCTATGAATTTCTGTATTTTATTTAATTATAACTCCAAGTTACATTTTCTTGGTTTTATTATGGTTTTTGCCTTTGTCATATGGATATATATATATTTTTTTGTATTATATATATATGAATGTGCCTCACTCAGCTGCAGTACTCAGTGCCCTTAAGTGAGGCAAAATGTACTATTTTTCCATAAAAAGACCTTTAAAATATATATAAATATTCTTGAAGAAAATTTAATTATTAAAAACTTTCTTTCTCATGACTTAATTGTAGAACAAAGTAATCAAGAGTTAGCTAATCAATTATAGTAAAAAACATGAGGTAAATATTTTTTTTTCACATTAGGGATAGTTGAAGATGGATATCTCGGAAACTAAGTAAGATAGCAAAAAATCATATTGAACATTTCATCAGCTTTAATTTTGTATAGAACGTCTTTGTCAATGTGAAGAATAGTTTTCCTGATATAAGCGAAAACCCCAAAAAAGTGACCTTCTAGGAGCCCCCTCCTTCCCCCACATCTGGCTCAACATCTAAGAGTGTCTTTTAGGAGGGATTTTTAGTATGTTTACTTCCTTACTAGTCCAAACAATTTCCTGAAGTCAAAAATTTTGTCCCTGCCATTTCTTTCTATAACCCCTCGCGTCCTGGTGGCAGGGAGAATGTTTAACTCTCCCGCTTACCACCCAGGAAAAGCGCCCTATAGCCGTACACCAATGGTGTAGAAGGGGTAAATCCAAAAAAAAAAATATTTAAAATTTTAAAAAATGAGATATTTCAGGTTAGTGCTCGCAATTCTAAGGAGCACCCCGATCGAACGAAGAAGTGCTAGCCAATCAATGAATTGATATGACCGTAGCCACATGCTTTATATAAAAATATAATTTAAATGATATATAAGTATCTATCATTTGCCAATATTAACTGTTAAAAACCAGAAGGCAATTCAACTGTTCCAGAACTACCTGTAAAATCGAGTTCTTGAAACAATACTACTAATCGCCAATAGGAAATCTCTAAACTAAATTTCTGTTCGCTGCAGAGTCAGAAACGGAATATAAAAAAATTAAAACTACCGTAAATGACAGCATTGGCCGGTGTCATCATAGCCTGCATGGGACTTATAACTTCCAGAGACTTTCGCCATGTCATGATATTTCAATTGTATTTTTTAATATTAATAATTAATAAGTGAAATAAAGGTACTAATTAATAATGATATGGAGTTTCAATTTAATTATCTCTTGATAAATTAATGGGAGAACGTAAAAAATATTTAGTAAAATAAGATGGGCACAGGCAGTTTACAACAATATTGAAAGACTCATAATAATCAAGCCTGCAGTTTACATTAAAATTTTTCATCTTTGAATTACAATATCATATATAACGATGTATACAGAGTGTCCCATAAGTAGAGGGAAATATTTAAATGGTTGATAGTAGACATCAATATCTAAAAACAAGTTCATATAAACAATTGCTCAATTTCCAGCAGAAAAGTAGGAAATTGAAGATTTGTGTTTTTTTTAGCGAGTCACGTTTTTTGTTGGAATAGGAAGTGATAACATAAAAAACAATTGATTTAAGTAGCTAAACATTGGTCCATAATAAATTAGATAAAATTTACTTTAAAAGAAAGTAGAGTTTGTCATTTTTGAGACTATTTAAAGAGGGCTATTGGGCTGAAAAACACAGTTAAGTTTCGTTTGAATAAAAGGCATAAATTATTTGATTTTTTTTTTTTTTTTTTTATCACCCTTTAACTTTACTACATTTACCCCAATTTTACAAAAACTTCCTCGTTTAATAAGCTTTAAGTATATATTAATTAAATTAAGGTTTATTAGGACAAAATTTTGAGATTCACCTCAAGTTGTGTAAAGAAATGATGTGATTTCCTAACCAGTCACTTCAAAGTACCTGTGTTTCCTGCAAAAATGACTACCATAAACTGTTGCAAAGCTTTTATTTCTTGTTTTTCTGGAATATAGGATATATTGTAATAAAAATAATTGCCTAAAAACTCATTTTAATTACAAAAATAAAAAAATAATGATTTTTCATTAATATTTGTTATGAAAGATGGTTAAAAAATTGTTTATTTCTCTCAGATTTCTGTCATTGGAATTGATGTGTATTTATAAATGACAAACTTAATGTTTCTAGCCCCAATATTTATGTTTTCATGAAAATCATTGAAGCAATCAGTAGGTTTCTTTATTTTAAACATAAATTTCATCATGAAACATTAAGGTTGATACTTATAAATATGGATTAACCCCTATGACAGAGATCTGGAAGAAAAACACAATTTCATAATCCACTTACACGAAAAATATTTAAATTTTAAATTTTTATAAATAAAATGTGCTATTAGGCAATTGTTTATATTAGAATACATCCTAGATCATGGAAAAACAAGAAATAAAAGCTTTGCAACAGTTAATTGTAGTCATTTTTGCTGAAAAGACGGGTACTTTTAGAAGACTGGGTTATCTCTGTGATTTTCTAATCACATCATTTCTTTACACAATGTGGGGTGAATCTCAAATTTTTGCCTAATAAACCTCAATTTAATTAATATAAACTTAAACCTTATTAAATGAGGCAGTTTTTCTAAAAGTGGAGTAACTGTAGTATAGTTGGATGATAAAAAAAAAATCGCGAATAATTTATGATTTTTTTAAAAACAGAACTTACGTTAGTTTAGCCGCTCAAATGTCCTCTTTAAATGGTTTTAATAATGACAAACTCTCTTATCAATTAAAGTAAATTTTGTCTAGTTTACAGTGAAGTATTGAATTGTTAATTACTTGAATTAAATATTTCTTTAGCTGTCGCATCCTATTCAACAAAAAACATGACTCTTAAAAAAAAACACAAAACTTGATTTCCTACTTATCTGCTGAAAATGGGTCCATTGCTTATATGAACTTTTTTGTAAGTCTTGAGGTCTGCTATCACTCCTATCAAAATTTTCCCCTACAGTATCCATATATATTTATGGATAGATTCTAGCATTTGAAGAAAATGAGTTCAGCAGCAATTAACAACAATGGCTATTGCTGTAATCAATAACAATACACTTCCTCCCATTTGCTAATCAGATCAGTCTCAAAATAATACATAAATAGTAAACAAAAAAATAAGTACACAGTTCTGAAACATTATATATATATATATATATATATATATATATATATATATATATATATATATATATATACAGAAAAAAATTAAATTAAACTAAAATTATAATTAAATGTATTAAAAAAAATAAATTATTCTTTAATAAGTACAATTTTTATTAAAACATGATACAGAGTAGTTACCTTCTAAATGATTTTTTTCATCCAACTTTCTTAAGCTTTCTTGTGCAGAAAGATAATTATAATGCAGCTTATCAATATTGACCATCATGAGATCTAAGAAATCACCAGGATTTAGATTGTCAGCCATATGAAACAATTGCATCTATAAAATAGAAAAAAAATCAACATGCCAATTTCACTTTAAATTAAAATGGGACTATAATTTTTCTTTTTTCTTTAAATAGTTTTATTTATTTTTGTGCAATTAATCCATGATATTCTGCATAAATATATAAATAGAGAAAATAAAAATAATCGTACTTTAATAAAAGTGATTTTTATTTTTTGAACTTTAATGACTGTTGTTATTGTTTATATTTAAGATTGTAACATGAGTGGTATGATTGAAATGAATAATATGTTAAAGCCAACTCCTTAACTATAGATTTAAGACTCTACCAAAGTGATGTAAATAGATAAATAAATAAAATGGGACTGAAACAGTAAAAATATATTGGTTGAAAAATATAATTTCATAACGAGACACTTTTTTAAAAAATAATAGATAGTCATATATAAACAAAACATTTAAAATAAAAACATTTCTTTGTGTGATGTTCATATTTAAAAAGAATTGTGTATACTAAACTAGTACCACAGTGGAAAGATAAAAGTAAATATGCTTGTATTAACATACTTCAAAATAACTGACATTTTCCTGCTGATAACAAAATCTCCACACTTCAATTACAAAAAAATAAATAAATGGGAGAAACTAATTACAAAGGGCAATTTCAGACTGATTAAGGGCTATTAATAATTTTAAACTTTTTTCATTCAATAATTTTTAATTATCATACAATAGCAACTAAATAATTTTTTTACTGCAATTTCCTTAATAAACTACTAACAATTTTCTAATAAAATTCTAATATTAACAATGTAGAATAATTACATCAGTGGATTAATTTAACAATGGATTGGTGCTCAAGATCAATTGAGGGTGTAGGTCTATAATGGAAAACAATCTATGTCGGCTTGTCCACAACTTAAGAGATTTAACAATATTTTATTTATGGCACAGCAATGAACGGCTAAAGATTTCACATAGGATTTTAGATTATTGGGATGAGTTGGCTGTAGTGAATGACAAACAATAATGAATATAATAAGTAATAATAATAATGGATATAATAAATAACAATAGTAACAAGGGATGGAGAGAACAATTATTTTCATAGTTCGGCTTGTGAATTCAATTTCGAAGAAACACTTGTACCTAATGAAATTATATTGATTTGATATCTAATTAGATTTTCGCAGTAAAACTTTTTAGTCAGTTCTGGCAAATTTTTGAGTGTGATAAGTGTTAAATAATTCGGAGTGTTTATCTTTATACAAAATTTATCTTTATGTTCTTTGATTGTGGATTCAATATAGTGGGTAGGCAACGATTACTTAATTCATTTCCTTTAACTATACCTTAAACCTATAACAGTTTGACTAATTATTTCTTCAAACATGTATTACATTACACTTATTCATGAAACGCCAATCCATTCGGCACTCTATGAATAAGTGTGACCAAAGTGATTGTAACCACGCGTAAGCCGTGCAATATTCAACTAAATAATTACCAGATTTATAGAGAAACATGAAATGTACAAGGTAAATATAGGAAAAATAAATTAATTTAATATGGTAGGTAGAGGAAGTTCTACAGAGCCACATGACTTTAATTTTAATTTAATGATGGTTAAATTTGAACTTTGGGCAAGTTCCTAGACAGCGGAGAGGACATCGATAGCATCGGAAACCCATTAAATCGTTGTTCATAGGCACCTAAACTCATAGGTACCCATGGATGGAATTCAGCACGTGCCTCTATTCAGCGACTGAATCACCGATAACTTAGAAGTTTCCACAGCTTTTGGGTTCGATAGATGAATGAATGAATGAATGAAAATAATTTTATTATTCTGGGACTAGTGTCCCTTTAGAACAAGTTACAAATACAGAATATATATTAATATTTTGGTGTGTCCATAAAATACAGTTTAATATTTACAGGTTGATTAGAAATACAATAAAGTTATAAATAATAAAAAGATTGTAACCAAGATTAAGAAAGCAGTGGAAACAAAACAAAACTCTACTCTCTTTTGTTTCCTAAGCAGATGACTAATTGATACTTTAGCATGTGCATGTACTCTTGTATCTTATTGTATCTTGACTATCTTTGGATGTGGCATGCCATAATATTGTATATAAAATAAGTATCTTTTTTTTGTTATTTGTATTATCTTTATTATCTTAAATATCTTTTTTTTTTTAACTTTAATTGTATATTATTAACTTTATTTGTACTGTAATTATGTTTGAGTTCCCTCTTTTTCCTTGTATTTTATTTCCTTTTATTGTACATAGTATTAATCCTGTAAATATTTCTTTTTGTAAATAGATCTGTTAACCTTTTTTGCTGCTTTATAAAAATTATCCAACCTAACCCCTTTTCACCTGGTAGAGTAAATATTTAATGATGGCCATTAAAGGGTAAGTACTTTATGTTTTCTAATTTATCTCTTTAGAGATGAAAGGCTAGTAAAGCCAGGCGCCCAACAAATAAAAATTCCTATGAAAAATTATATTTATTAAAAATTATTTTATTATATCTTTTATTTTATCCTTTTTTTGGTCATAAGATATAAATACGTGTAAATATAAAATATACAGAGAAAGTAATTAAGTAAACGAAATATCGATGAATCACAAAGTAATCAGAGTATCTAGGCGTACTTTGAGGTTTTTACAGCTTAGGTTTTTAAGTGCATTTCATGATCAATCGGATTGGGAATGGAGTAGGTGTTTGAAGAGGAGATATTTGAAAGAGGATATTGATTTTGCGTGTCAAATATCTGAAGGTATAGAGTTCCAGAGGGAGACAACTTGTATTAAAAAGGATTGATCAAACGCAGCAGTTCGGTGAGGAAGAGGATAGAGTTCAGAGGCACGGGATCTGGTAGGACGGGATTGAAAGGAGCGTTTGAATTGTAGGATCTGTAGAATATAGGCAGGTCGCCGTGTTCTAATAGCTTGCTACAGGAAGGTAGCAAGGAAATATTGACGGCAGTAGGTCGGATAAAGCCACTTCAAGTTGGTGTAGAACTGGGTAATATGCATATCCCTTGAGATCCCGAAGATAAAGCGAATTAAGCCATTCATTAAACGTTTAAGTTTAGCTTCGAGTTCTCCCGAGAGTCCACCGTACACCATGCAGCCATAGTCGAAGTGGGGGAAAACAAAAGAGGAGACCAGGATTTGACGGGTTTTGAATGGAACAAAATAACGTAGATGGTTAAACTGTTTCAGGGTGGATATAGTACGGCAGGAAATTTGGGAGATGTGTGGTTTCCAGGAGAGGCTTTGATCGAGGGTAACGCCTAGGTTTTTAACGGTGGTATGGAAGGAGATAGATGAATTGTTCAGAACAAGATTAGAAAGTGCTGAAATGGATTTGAGGAGTGAAGGGGATCCAATCAGGATGGCTTTTGTCTACTCTGTATTTAATGTCAGCTTAATAAGATTTACCCATGCGTATATTCTATTGATGTTTTGTTGCAGTTTCAGGATGCCATTAGAGGAATCTGTTGGTTTGAAGGAAAGATAAATTTGGACGTCATCGACGTATAGATGATATTGACAGTGTATGATAGAGGAAGGGAGGTCATTGATGTAGATGGAAAAGAGGGTGGGGGATAATGAGGAACCTTGTGGGACGCCTCTGGACAGAGGTAGAGACATTGATTGAGGGTTATTAGGAATTACAACGTACTGGGAGCGATCGGTGAGAAAGGATTGGAACCACTTAAGGGCACTAGTTGATAAGGATATATTTTTAAGTTTGGTTAGAAGGATATTATGGTCAACTGAGTCGAATGCTTTAGAGAAATCAAGAAGGATCAGGATGGTGAGTTTCTGTTGATCTATGGCTGTGTAGAGATCTTGGGAGATTTTAATGAGGGCGGAATGAGAGGAGTAGTCTGGTCTAAAACCAGACTGAAAGCAGTTCAAATGTTTATTTTGATCAAGAAATTGGGATAGTTGAGATTGTACTATTCGCTCTAAAGGTTTGGAAAGGTTAGATAACAGGGAAATTGGACAGAAATCATTAGGGCTTGTGGGATTAGAGATTTTGTTCAGAGGACGAACAAGAGCGGTTTTCCAGGTGTTGGGAAAAGTGGAGCTTTGTAGTGAGAAATTATAGATATGATAAAGGACTGAGAAAATGGATGGAAGTGAGGATTTAATTAATTTAACTGGGATATTATCTGGTCCGACATCTTTGGTTTGGGATTTACAGATGGATTTAAGGAGGTCGTCAGGGGTAATATGCGAAAAGAAAAAATGATTGGGATTAAAGGGGGGATGTATGAGGGGTGGAGCTGGTGCTTGGACGGAGGGATCGGATGAATAGGAGACAAAATGAGTGTTGAGTATGTCAGCTGAAATAGAGGTAGTCTGGATTTGGGTGGATTTGGGTGGATTTGCCTAAGGATAATTTACGGAGGATCACCCACATAGCTTTGGAGTTTGATGTGCTGGATAAGGATTGTTGGTTGTAGTGAGATTTGGCACGGCATATCATTGATTGAGTACTGTTTCGAAGCAGCTTGAAACTCATGTAGTCTTCGGGGAGTCGAGTGCGCTTAAACCTTCGTCTTGCTGCGTCTCTTCGTTTGATACAATTTTTTATCACAGGCGTCAACCAAGGGGATGGTGGATACTTGATTGTCCTGACTTTAAGAGGAGTTCGATAGATGAATGAATGAATGAATGAAAATAATTTATTATTCTGGGTCTAGGATAAAGTGCAGTTGATTGGTTAAGGTTTCTACCATAAAATCAACGGAGTTAGAAGAGTATATGGAGTCCCATTGGATTGCGTCAAGATCGGGCATCAAAGTTTTGGATGATAGGAGACTAAGGTTTCTGAAAGATATAGATCGGGGACTAAATAGAGGAACAGGAAGGTTATAGGAGATCTGAATGATATCGTGAGCAGACAAAAACGGAACCGGATGGTGTGATGAGGCGAGGAGTTTATCAAGAGAATCAATAATGCAAAGATCGAGCCAAGAGTCTGAGTATTGGTTGTGATGGGTA